TCCTTCCTCACTCCCAGCACCGTGGGTAGCCACCAAAACACACTCCTCTAGAAGTCCCACAAGGGCCCCACCCACTGCTTGCCCCTCTCCCCTGCTCAGCTGCTTTCAGACCTCAAATCCATCAACCTGGGCATTAGCTATGAAGATTTCCATGGTTCTGAATCTGAAGCAAGGACTCATGGAAGACAGCCTGTGACAGCTGCCAGAAACCAGAACTGCTCTGAACTCTCAAACCCAGAGATGCTTGTGCTGTTGACTGCTTAACAAAGTGGGGCTTTGCTTTAAGATGGCAAGGAGGATAACCGGATGCTTGCAGCTGCCGGGATCAGTAAAACATCTGCAGAGTTGGTAAACCCTAGTGGCTAGCCTCTAACTCTCCTGAGAACTCCCTTCTCACCCCAAGAATTTTCATCGTGAGTGGATGTTGGATTTTGTTAAATACCTTTTTCCTGTGTCTATTGAGATGATCGTGTGGCTTTTGTCCTTTATAAATATGGTGTGTACGCTGATTGGTTTTTCAAATACTAAACCAACCTTGTATTCCCAGGAGAAATTCTGCTTGGTCATGGCATATGACCTTTTAATATGATGCTGGTTTCAGTTTGCTAATATTTTGTTGACTTCACATCTGTGTTCATGAGGTGTTTCTTATAATGTTGGTATCAGTCACCCCCCAAAAAGCACACATTTCTATATCAAGACCCAGTGTCCTATTCCCAGAGAATCTGGAACTGGGTGTAGAGGTGCTAGCTAGACCACCAGATGCTAGAATGGCGGTGACCATCCGGCTGCCATTCTCCACCTCACGGAGCTGAGGCCCAGATGCATCTCTTCACACAACCCATATTCTTGGAGTAAATGCTCCATGGTCTCAGGGTCTCAGGTTCAAAGGGTCTCAAACGCAAACGGCATAGGGACTAAGCAGGCAAAATATATTAGTGAAGTAATTCAGATACTAGAAAAGCCTGGAAAGCTGGTCCCAAAGTGACTTGGCTTTAGCTCATTGTTAGCTTGCAAGAATGTGAGCCCAGTGTCCCAGTGCCAGAGTTTGTAAAAAGAAACAGGAAATCCAGTTATGTGCATACTTCTCATTTTTAATTACTGACACCTGATTTTTTTTTTTTTTTTGAGACAGAGCCTCAAGCTGTCCCCCTGGGTAGAGTGCCATGGCTTCACTGCTCACAGCAACCTCCAACTCCTGGGCTCAAGCGAGTCTCCTGTCTCAGCCTCCCAAGTAGCTGGGACCACAGGCGCCCACCACAACACCTGACTATTTTTTTGGTTGTAGCCATTATTGTTGTTTGGCGGGCCCAGGCTGGATTCGAACCCGCCACCTTAGGTGTATATGGCTGGCGCCTTAGCCGCTAGAGCCACAGGCACCGAGCCCTGACACCTGATTTTTAACTGAATGTTTCAAATAGGTAAATGCCAAAATATCAGAAAGTTAAAAAAAAAAAAGTAGAGTGAAAATGACCCCTCTCACCCCCAAAAAGATACCCACTATTCTCAAATAGTGAGTATTTATCCTTCCCGAGAATTTTGATGCCTTTCTTTTTCACACACAGATGGTAGCATACCACGTATAGTTCTCTGCATTTGGCTCCCATATTTTGGCAATATTTCCACACTAATTCATAAAGAACTCCTAATCCATTTTTACAACTTTGTAGTATTCCACTGCATGGACATGCAAGGCCAATCCCAGACTGATAAATTCTGAGTTCTAATTTGTTGCTATTTCACTGCACAGTGACTAAACTTGTCTATTTGTCCTTTCTTGTGTAAGTTGGATTCCTAGAAGTGCGACCCAATGTCCGTTTCTCATTTTGACAGGTATGGCAGCTGACTCCCATGAAAACACGGTCCCACCACCAATGTACAAGAATGCACGGTTCTTCAAAATTTCACAGTGAACAATTTTAAGGTCCGCTAGACTGATATGTGAAAAATCTCAGGGTAATTTCAATATTCTTTCATACTTCCTGGCTTATATTGAGGCTGAGTATCTTTTCATATGTTTAAATGCCTTTTGCATTTTTCTATGAAGTGCCTGTTCATATCCTTTGCCCATTTTTCTACTTGGCCTTAGTTATTTGCACATTCTGTTTAGTAAGGAGATTATCCGTCTGTAACATGAGTTGCAATATATTCTCCAGTTCTTCATTTGTTCTTCGAATTTGCTTAGGATTTTATTGTCTCACTGTGGGATTTTTTTTTCCTTTGGTTGAGGTTTTTGTTTGTTTTACCAAGTAGAGGTTTAACTTTTTTTTGGTATATAATCAAATTGGTCTCTCTTAGGGCTTCTAGACTTTGTACAATTTTCCAACGTTTTTACCTACTTCTTAAACAGATTTATTTTATATATTTAACTCCCTAACCCATTTGGAATATTTGGAACTGTTCTAGGTGTGCAGAGTGAGCTACGGGGCTCCCTTCCCTTTTTCTAGACAGTCACCCAGTTGTCTCAGTATGGAAACATTTTAACAGTTCAGGGAAAACCACACATTTCTGCCAATCAGATCCAGCCCCATAGGCTGCTATCTTAAAACCTCATGCTCTGGGTGGCACCTGTGGCTCAAAGGACTAGGGCGCCGGCCCCATAAGCCGGAGGTGGTGGGTTCAAACCCAGCCCCGGCCAAAAAAAAAAAAACCTCATGCTCAGATAGGCATGAAATGCACTTCCACTGGGAAAGGGGGGAAGGGGGAAGGGCAGCTCACCCACTCTTATGATGATTTGCAATGACCTTTCTGGTGTCCCTGTCCAACAACAGCCACAAAAAGAAACGTGGCCCTTCCCTAGGCTGAGTTACCCTTGCCATGGGATTAAGGGCCTGCTAAAGTCAGCAGTTAAGGATTTCATTTGCTTGACAAGAGACAAGCCAGGCAATCGCTTCAAGGTGGAAGCACAAAGACAGTACCTCCACAGCGGAGCTGCTCCAAGGATTGAGGTCAGGAATTCCTAGCAGGGCTATGTCCTGGTCTTCTTTCCCTCCAGGTATCTCCAAGTGTTCCTGAAAGTTCACTATTTGGCACTGCAACTCCCAGAAATACCGAATGGTCACTTCTAGTTCATTCATCACTTCTTCCCCATAGACGTTCTCATACAACCTGACCCCTCCTCACTGACTGCGGGGAGAAGATCCAAGAACAGCCAAACCCAGAGAGAGCTGCTTAGACTTTTAGCAGCTCCCATGTTCCCATGACTTGTTCTAAGTCCGACATTTAAGGGCAGTCCCTAAGTCGCTCACTGTTGAGGCCTCTGCATGCCACTGGTCAGCTGAGAAACCGAGCACACAGTGAGCCCTTTCCTCTCAAGCCCAGTCACCATAACAACTGCCACCCATTACCAAGTGCCCCTCAGCAGACCCTGAGCCCAGCATGCACACAGCTCCTCTTGTTCCATGCCCCCCACCAACCCAGTGGGTAGATGCTGTCATCACATCTTACTGAGGAGGCTGGACTAGTCCAGCCGAGACTACAGGAGATGGTAGTGCTAGGCAGGCAGGCTTGTATCAAAGCCCATGTGTCTCAGACATGGTCCCGTGCATCTCTTAGGTCAGTGCTGTGGTTTAATATCATGACATTCCCTTCACCTCTCCCTGCTCCTGGTTCAGGCCCTGGAAGGAGGAAGAAACCTGGGAGTCTCCAGCAATCAACAGATAGCCTTCTACAAATTAGTGTCCTCAGCTGCCTATCTAAAAAATTAACTTTCCATTGAATCTATGCCCTCCCTGAGCAGACTGGGGCACAGCCAGTGTCTAAGCTTCCTTCATTCAAACCAGTCCCAATCAATACAATGCAGCCATGAGAATTAACGATCCACAGCTCCACACAGCAACAGGGACACCTCCCACGGGCACAGCAGCAGCAAGCCAGACAGAAGAGACGGCATCCTGCACGTGCACACGCCATCCGTCCTTCATTACATACAGTGCAGAAACCAGCAACACTGTCTGTACTGCCTGATGCCGGGATGCTGGAGCCTGGCCAGGGTGGACACTGACCAGAGGGACCCAAAGGCTTCCTGGGCACTGACAGTGCCGACTGGTTGGTTTCTCAGTGTGCAGATGTGCTCAGTTTGCGAAAATTCTCTGAAGCATACACTTAGGTATTCTTTTCTGTAATGTGCATTATACTTCAATAAATGTTTACAAATGTTATCTCAACAGAAAAATGCTGATTCCTCCAAAGACAAGGGGTCCGCCTGTATCTTTTAATTCCAAACATTGTCCTAAAGTGGGCACAACCCAACCTTTTCTGTGCTTTTCTACTGCTATCTTACCAGGTTCATTATGTTAGATTTCCTTGAAATTCTAATGCTGGTCTGCAGTTCAATTGTGTGTGTGTGTGTGTATGTATCTGCTCTTGGCTCTGAGGCTCTGAGAGGAATTCCAGAAATATCCATTACAAGTTGAAGCCAAAGTGAGGAATCTGGAATGTTAGGACAACAGCAGGACACTCTGTATGGAAAGCAATGAAGGCAAACACACCTTTAAGACAGGTGCCCAATGACCTCTGCTTTCTTGCTGGGAATCCAAAGGTCAAGCCTGCGCCCTTCCCTCAGGCGGGGGCTTTATAATATGTAGATTCCACACAAGTGAGGCGGAGCCCCCACTCCCAGTTCTTACTCCAGACCCAGGTGAGCTCTTAACACCTTTATTGGGATGGCCCCCCTGCACAGCCGGGACATGGGGTTCGCAGACACGCAGTCAACACCAGGGACCCTGAAGCCAGCCCACCACAGAGGCAGAGTTCCTCACAGAGAAGGGAAGTCCCCACTGCCTATCAGCCACGGTCACACCTGGCCTCACCCCCTTTAAAACTCCAGGCAGGCTGATATAGGAGGCTGTGCCGCATGTGGGTTCCAGCTGCTTTTCTAAACCCTGTGGCCTGGCATGCAGCAGGGGAGGAAATTCAAAACAACAATAAAAAGAAAGAAAACTCAAGCTGCTCCCTTGCAGTTTCACTTTCCAGTGTCCCGGATGGGAGGACCACAAAGCTCACAGGCGCTGAGGACGGCTAGGGCCTTGATGCTGGACCTCCCTGTTGAACTCAGGAAAATAGTCCTCGGTCCTGTATAACGTGGGCAGCTCATACATCAGGGGTGCTGGGGCAGATGGTTTCTGGAATGACAGAAAACAAGGTGTTTTATCAGCAGTTTGGAGCCACTTATTCTGGGACCCAAGAATTCCAGTTCTAGTTCATCCTTTGGGAAAGTCACACATGTCACCAAAGACTTCTGTGCTTCTCTGGCAGCAGCACTGCCTGTGGCAGCCTAAGCCGGCCCCCCAAAGGAACCAAGGCATCAATGTCAGGCCCTCTCCACAAGGGAACACTCTGCAGGCATTAAAAGGAACTCAGCAGACCTTTCTGTTCTGGCAGAGAAGGGCTGAGAAACCAGGGTGAGGAGGGGGTAGACTCGTGACCAAGAGACCACATACCCACAAGCATGTGTGTGACAGCTCTGCAGGGTCAGCCTGGCACAGTGGCCATCACTGCTGATGGGAACTGATTTTTCTTTCACTGTGTACCCACCTATGCTGCCTAAAGCTCATGCCATATGCATGCGCTACTCATTCAAAAAACACAATTGAGGCCGGGCATGGTGGCTCACACCTATAATCCCAGAACTCTGGGAGGCAGAGGTGGGTGGATACCTGAGTTCAGGAGTTCGAGACCAGCCTGAGCAAGAGCAAGATCCTGTTTCTACGAAAAATACAAAAATTAGCTGGGTGCGGTGTAGTCCCAACTAATTGGGAGGCTAAGACAGGAGGATCACTTGAACCCAGGATTCTGAGGTTGCTGTGGTGTAGTCCCAGCTACTCGGGAGGCTGAAGCAGGAGGATCACTTGAACCCAGGAGTCTGATGTTGCTGTGAGCTAGGCTGATACCCCAGTACTGTACTTGTGGCAACAGAGTGACATTCTGTCTCAAAATAAATAAATAAATAAATAATAGGGCAGCGCCTGTGGCTCAGTGAGTAGGGCACCAGCCCCATATACCTAGGGTAGTGGGTTCAAACCCGGCCCCAGCCAAACTGCAACACAAAAACAGCCCGGCATTGTGGCAAGTGCCTGTAGTCCCAGCTACTTGGGAGGCTGAGGCAAGAGAATCGCTTAAGCCCAAGAGCTGGAGGTTGCTGTGAGCTGTGATGCCACAATACTCTACCCTAAGGACAATAAAGTAAGACTCTGTCTCTATTTAAAAAACAAATAAATAAATAAAATTGCTTCCTCATTTCTGGTACAGATTTGTGTTGAAGGGAGCCTGGGGAGAGGAGATTTCCTATTAAGACCCCCCACAACCTGGGGAGGCAGGACCCTACAGGTTACTGTGCATGTTGAGGAAAAATCATCATCACCGAGGACCACCTCAAACAGCGGCTGTCAAACTTGGTCATACGTTGGAATCTCCTGGGAATTCTATAAAATATTTATGCCTGGGCCCCACACTGGAGTGTGACGTCACTGGCCAGGGTGTGAGTGTTTTACAGCCACCAGGTGATTCTCTCCTAGACACCAGGCCCAGGTCACTTGCACCCTCAGAGGCCATGCTGCAAGTTTTAACCCTAAAAGCACCAGGGGCCTCTGAAACTATTCACTGGGAGGGTGTGTGTGAGAGAGATTAGGCATGTGTGTTAGGGAAAACCATAGAGGAAAAACCCCCGAGGGATGAGGCTTTTGCAAGTGTGCCCTAATGGTTCGAGTGGCCGGGCTAAGGGGAAGGAAAGAACGGATTCCAACATCTGAGCTCCAAAGTCCCTGACTTTCCATCAGTCTGAGCCCTCTCTCTGTTGTAGATGGGAACCATCAAAGGATTTTATTAATTTTTTTTTTTTTTTTGGCAGTTTTTGGCCAGGCCTGGGTTTGAACCCGCCACCTCCAGCATATAGGGCCCGCATCCTACTCTTTTGAGACACAGGCACCGCCTAGGATTTTAAATAAGATAGGACACACCCAGGTGTCTAGACGGCAATCAACCTGTGTCACCACTTCCACGTCTGGAAAACCAGGACAAGGGTATTCACCTTGGCCAAGGGTCAGCCTCACACAAGGTTAACAACATTCTGCCTAGTCGATCCTCTCAGTTGGCCACTCTTGGCTCAGCCTGCCCAGGGTGGGGCGAGGTGGGGGGGGTTGGCTCAGGAGAGGAGGCCTATCTCCACCTGTTTCCTCTTCTCCCAGCACCTTCCCCAGTGGCCTCCTGCCCCTGAGGATCAGTGGGAATGAGTTCTCCTGACAGCATGACAATCTGTCTACAGCCAGATGGGTGCGGGTTGGAGATAACCCACAATCTCACCCTCTTTCTCCAAAGAACTGTCCATCATGGTATCCAGAAAACATTACATTCAGGTGAACAATGACAGTACCCAGCCAGACTACTTTTTGTTGTTGTTGCAGTTTGGCCAGGGCCAAGGCTTGAACCCGCTGCCCTCAGCATATGGGGCCAAAGCCCTACTCCCTGAGCCACAGGCTCCACCCAAGGCCACACCTCTTATCTTGACATGTGACTTGGAGGCCAAAAAGCATTTTGTGATGCTGAAAAGACATGTCCTTTCTTCTCCTGACCCTCAGGATGCAGGCAAGGGTCAGAGACCAGGCCAGGCCAGAGAAAGTGTCCTGTCCTAATCAGGTGGCCTCTCCTGGGTCAGCTGGGCCTTACCTGACCCACTACTTTTTGAAATGGTTCTATCATCAGGGATGGAGCTTCTGTATCCTCCTTCAAGGAGACAGATACTGTAAACAAAAGAAAATCAACATATAACAAGGAGCCAAGGACTCATAAAAGGCCCAGCAGCTTCAGATGTGATTGTGTCCTTAGGCCCGAGGACATCTAACACAAGAAACTCGGAGTCGTGGCATCCTTCCTTGTGGCAGGAGGGAAACGTCATTCCTGCATGAGAAACGCAGGGATGAAGGGGATGCAGGGAGAGGCAAGCTCTGCTGGTGTCGGGACAGATGTCACGGTAGAAGATTAAACAGCTGCTTCCCCTGTACTCAGAAAGGAGCTTGATCACCAGACGCCAGCAGGAGCTCTCCAAGACCAAGCCACCCCAAACAAGAGGATCCCTGCCTGGAGAGGGAGATGAAAGGCTTCAGAGGCTGGTATGGCCCCGTGGTGACCAGGACAAGTCCCCTGACATCTCTGAGGACAGGTGGGAGAAATGGGGGTGATTTGAAACTGTCCAGAGCACTGGAGGGCACAGGGGTGACCCCTTTAGCCCAAAAGGTAGTCTTGGAGAGTGGTGAGCACTGTTCCACCCTGCCTACTTCCTCTTTGGGTTCTGGAATCTTGATTTTTTTGATGGGTTTCTTGTACTCTGCTCCCCATCCCAGCAGCTCCTCCCCAGCCCACAGGGATTAGTCCAGGGCAAGCATGTGACATGAGAGGGGCCAATAACAAGCAGCCATGGGGCTCTCGCTTTGGGAACCAGCACGAACTGTGCCCCCAGGTTCCTATGACCACAGACCCAGGCCAAGGGCCACTTCTGCCACCAACTGGGGCCCTCCTGAGAGTGAAGCCCATGTAGAGGGAAGCGGAGTTGGAAGATGGGGCAAGACTCAGTCCTGAAAACATCATTCCATCGCCAGTATCCAAGTTGCCCTGGGTTACTGTTGCTGGCACTTAAGCATCCTGGCTGAGGCAAATAATAAACCCATAGTGGGGCAGCTCACAGGTGGGTCCCAGGTGAGGCTGAAAATAGCCCAATGGCCCAGATGTTGCCAGAGTGCAGACACCTCACCCATGGGTGAGCAGGACCCAACCCAGGAGGCCAGGCCCCAGTCACTAACTAGCATGCCAGCATGCCACAGAAACCCACTTTCTCTTGGATTCTCAGGGGGACCTGTATGATGAAGAGTCAGCCCTTATCTCAGAGGTCAGGGGACCATGGAGCTGGGCCCACTGAGCCCAGCCTCAGCCCATGGCTCCACAGTGCTCCATAGGGACAGAGCAGCAACCCAAACGCTAAGGGTCTCACCTACAGTATGCCCTTAAGGATCTCAGATGGGACTGCAGAGCTTTCCAACTCCCACCCTCAACCTCTGACTTGTAAGAACAGTCCCATCTGGGCTAGGCCAGGTAAGCAAGGAGCATCCAACCTTCTGGGCTCTAGCTCCCCACCCCCACCTCCCAGTCTACAGGCAAGAATCTTCTCTGGGCTGGGATAGGCTAGGTCAAGAAACCTGACACTGCTGGTCCAGGGCACGGCCATGGCCACATGCTCCTCTCCAGCTCTGAGCCCCGCCTGCCACCTGCCATTCTCTGCTGCTAAGACCTCTGGGAAACCAGGCCTGGCTCCCACTTCTCCCCACTGCCACTCTGGACACCCAAGTTCTCAAATCTTCAACCCACAAGCCAGACACATGTGTGCTTGGTCAGGTTTATGATTTAGTAAAAATACAATTAACTGCAAACATGTAGAAGTCAGATTTGCTACGAAAACCAGACTGCCGGTTTCCACTGGAAAATGGGATCATCTGGTAGCTCCAGGCCCACAGTCCCTCGTGGCCCAAGGTGGCTGAGTGGAGGAGCAGTGGCCCCTGAAACCTTTCCATTCCTGTGACCTGCTGCTTCTGGCAGATGCCTCAGACTTGGCCTCCTGCTCTCTGCACCACTGTTTCTGCTCCATTTCTGACAAAGACCCCAAATGGCTATGACAGCACATGACAAGGTGAATCCTCAGGTCCCCAGTGGCCTCAAGTCTCTCCTCTGAACCTGCACTCAGGTTACTGTCTGACTTAAAGCCAGCTGCCTCCTCAGGGCCTTTGTTTGCCCTGGGCTACTCTCCCACACCTGTTTTTAGACTGTTTCACACCTCCTCTTAAGTTCTAGTCCATCTTTGTGTCTTGCTCTTGGGATGTCCTAATCACACATCCCTGACCCTAGACTCATTTCTGCCAGGCCAGGGTCAGCAATTTTATCTGTTAAGAACCAAACAGCAAATAGTTTAGGTTTTCAAAACCACATGATCTCTGTCAAAACCACTCAACTCTGCCCTTGTAGCATGAAAGCAGCCATAGGCAATATGCAAACAAAAGACATGGCTATGTTCCAATAAAACTTTATTAACAAAAACATTGGCAGGCCAGATTTGGCCCCCAGATTGTGGTTTGCCTCTGAA